TAAACTAACTATTCCCTTATCCATTAGAAGCTTCCTCCAAAACAGAGAGGAAAAAACGGCCGTTATGCTAATGACGAATTCTGGGGCCGTTAATTGAATTTTTTCTCACCTCGAGGTAATTAGCTTTGGCCTTCGAGGATGGTGAAAAATTGCAGACGCTTCAAGAGTTGCAACGAGAGAAGCCACCATGAAACTTCATCATTAATCAAGGCGTCTCTTAAGACGCTAAATAAAACATGCCTGGAAAAAAAGAAAATAGCATTAATTTACCCATTAACCCATCTAAAAAGGCATCGAATGATTTTATTCGACAATTGGAAGTGGCAAAGGAAGGAAAGGAGAAACGATCGCGTCTGATATTTGACCATAACCGGATTTCAAACTCCGCCTAATCCAGCTGGTTCTCGCAGTCTCACTCGTCGACTATCCTTGATTATATCGTTAAGAACTAATAAATCTCCAACTAATTTGATTTATGTCAATTGCACCTAATGAACTACCTACATAAAAAAAGTTAAGTGTTTTACTGTGTTGTGGTTTTTCGCGTAATGAAATGAAAAATGTACGAATTGTAAGTACGATATTGTTTAATTTTTGTCGATAAATTTGTCTTATAGACTACCATCTCTGTTTGTTTATAAATATTCGAATGCTTAATCAAGCCTCAGTTAATTAATTCAGAAATGTCTTCCATTGCGCCTGAGGAGTGAACTTGTAGTTCTGTCAGGCGCGTTTCACCTCCTCGTCATCATCAATCTGTTATTTCCTCAATAAGTCCACGCAAAGTGTCCTTATCTAGAGAATGGGTGTAGCTTAAGATATTACCGTCAAAACAAAGTAAAAAGAATTTCTCCTTGGGGTCTTCGGGGGGATGAACCTGCAGTTTGTTCAATTCCGATCATCGATCGGCGTAAGTTTGTGGTTTTGGCATGTAAAAATGAATGAAATCCTTAATTAACATAAAAATATTTTATCAAAAAATTGTAAAATTATGATAGAAAGTTTCGAAAAAATACATAATTATTCTTGCTATTTTTTTAATTTTTACCAAGAGAACTTCTTGTTGTATTTTGTTTCGTTTAAAGATAAGAAATAGTCCATTATATTTCGTGGTCCCATTGACCAAATCTTTCAATGAAAAAGTTAGTTTTACGAGCGGGAATCGAACCCACGACCTTCGGCTAAATACGCCGCTGCTCTATCGTGGTTCGAATCCCGTTCGTGACACTAACTTTTTCATTTCAACCAATACCTTACATAAAGATTAATTAATTGAAATAAGAAATAGTTTTTAAAAATCTATAATTGACATAAATGCAAATAGTCAAAAATCTCATGGAATGGGTACCAACCTACATTTCATGTTCGACCTGCCATGGTTCAAATATTGGTTCTCTTTAACCACCCTCAATGGAACCCATCATTCTTCGTCGTTTGTGCAAAAGAACTTCACTTAGTAAAGTTGGTAAATCCTCTCTAAAGAATATTAGACCCAAGCTCCATTTAAATTATTTCCGTAGAAATAAGGACCACAAGGTTAAAATTAATTTATTTCCGAGATGTCCAGACCAAACGTCGATGTACGTTGATCCTATGAACCATTTGGTTACGGCAAAGGTATACAATTCGGGAGTGCTTAGGGTCGAAAATTCCACCAACTTAGTTTACCATTTGTTGTGAACTTTGATTGACCAGCCTACTTGTTAGAAGGTTGTTGTCGACAATTTTTGAGAATTTTTCGTGTTCTGCTGGAGAGTCATTCCATGGAATTGCAGTACTTGGCAGATTTGATGTATATTTGTAGAGGAGTGGAGACGTGTTGATGTGAGTTTTCTAGCTTTTTTAATCAGGAACACGATCAAGGTATGGGCTTGAAGAAAAACCAAATTCATTTGTTACTGCCAAGCTTTCGACCTATTTTAAATTCATCATCAGGGCAAAACAATCTTAAATATTTTTATAGATTGACATATTTAAGTTTTTATACAGGCGATTTCAAATACCTGAAAACCGACCAAGGCAATGTTAAGAATGTATTGTTTTGCCCTATTGTTGGCCTTAAAATAAGTCGGAATCTTGGCAGTAACAACTTAATTTGCTTTTTCTTCAAGGTCATACCTTGATCTAGAGTGAAAAAGTGGTCGATACTTCTAACATTGAAAACCTTTTTAATGTCAAGAAGGGTCAGGCTAAAAAATAAACTCGGAACAATTTATAGGCCAAAATCCATTTTATGGTATAGCAGAACAGAATAGAACCAAAATTTTTATTTACAAACTTATACAATACATACATTAAAGACAGCGGTTTAGTGGAGTTTCTATCTAGCGACTCTTGCCTCCAGCTGGTTAACTTATAAAGAAATTTTTATTATTCACATAAAAGAAGTGCTTTCAGGTGTGCCAAAAAGGTCATTACTCGCTCCGCTGTTGTACACAATTTTTACTTCTGATATGCCTGCAAATGAGAAAGCAGTTACCGCCACATATTCACAGATAAACACCGTCATATTAACAAGTCATCGCTCTGCTTCACTTATGTTACAAAACCACATATCAACAATTGAACAATGTAGAAATCTTTGGAAAATAAAGTTTAAGCGCTCACAACTTATCACCTTTGTTATGTTCACACTCCGCCGTGAGAATTGTCCTAGCATATGTTGTACAATGAACCTGTTCCTCAATCTGACAAAGTTAACTATTTAGGACTTACAGTTGATGGAAGACTAACTTGGAATTCATTCACTCGATTAAAACAACAGGCACACAACACACTGACACAAGACACAATACTGCTTTATTACCTACTTAACCGACAATCAAAATTACAAAATTAAAAATCAAAACTTTCGACACTACCTCTCAAACCCCGTACTATTTGGATGTACGGATGCCAAGTTTATGGATCGGCCATATATTCCAATATTCAAAGATCGCAAGTTTTCAATCCAAATTTTTAAGACTTTTTACGTAAACACACTTCACAGAGATCTTCACATCCCAATAGTTTTTCCATCAATCAAAACATATTACAGACGTTTTATATTAAATTACAAAATCGCACTAACACTCAAATTCGATTACTCTATTTCCCACAATTACCACTTAAACGACTGAAAAGAAATAAGAGACCTCTTAAATGATTAATATAATTTTATTTATCCTGAGCCGCTACCAATGGGTAGCTTTCTCTATAACGCCCGTAATGCCACAATCATAAATTAAAATCCAATCTGCTGGTTGTATATTATACATGTCCAGTTGTAGATAAAAATAAATGCAGTCGAAAAATTATTTACATGAAATTATTTTTTTATTAGAGAAACAATGTCACATTAAAAACCCTACCATAGTTAAGTTATGGGATAGCGTTCTTTATTCCCCTGGGCAAGTACCTGTCGTCCACAATATTGTATATTTGGCAGCACACTGTATTGGTACTGCCTTTGCATTGCTTAAAAAATTTATTGGTTGTATATACGATGTATTCCAGCACATCCAACAAGTTTGTCGCATTGTGCATGGCCGATATGCTTGTATAACTGGACGAGTCTTTCGCAAGCCTCAGAAACTTGCTCTGCACTACCTTCAGCCTGGTGAAATTAGTCCAGCGTGTGGTACTCCAGGAGGGGCACGCGTAGAGGATCATCGGCCTGATGAACTACAGGAAAAGTTTATTGGCAGGCGACAGTCTGAAGTGGCGATAGAGCAGAGGGAAAAGTATAAACTATGACAAAATTAAAATGAACTTGCATCTTGGGTAACTTAAGAACACAACAAATACTAGAGCAGAGACTATGAAGTTGACTAATTTCGATTATGTCTAGAAGAGATAGAGACAGAACATAGACTATTCAACTGCCCTGCAATAGCTATGGATCCTAGGAAAGCCATTCTTGTGCTATGTAGGCCTTGATACCATACCTCTTAAATCTTTAAATCTTCCAGGAAATCTAATAGCAGAGAAGTTCTCCAACCCGTCGTCGAAATGAGGTCCCCGAGTGGCGCGCGCAAGGCTTTTCGTAATTTTTGGGTAGCCTGTTTCGCTTGGTTTCACCAGATAATTGTTCAGTTTCTTGTTCCGATGATAACCGATAGTGCTTGATGTGGTTTCAGTAGATGTATGGTAGTAGGAATTCTCCGGACCTTAGGGATTGAAAAAACAGTATTTTGCAGTATGTAAAGTGGCTTATCGAACTTGTTAATTTTGGATCTTGTACGTTTTTTAAGTAACTGTCTAATACCAGAATGGTTTAATTCAATACGGTAGCAGGTTTCGATCCAAGGGAGGAAAATACGCCGATCGAAAAAAAAGGCCAAGGCGTACGGAAAAGGTCGAGGCATTCCAAGACGGGATTATTCAAATATCCCGAATTAGTCCTAGTGTAGAACAAGGCTCGGACTTCCGAAAAGCCCGGCCCCGAGCCGGAGTGATTCGCGGGGACTGGAAGGTGGTAATTAAGGCTCTCCGGTAAAGTGATATTCCTTGTTTAGCCGTCGTCCTGGGGCTGCATATGAAACAGCCTTCGGCGCCACTCCGGTCCCCCCGGCGACGCCCTCTCCACACTCGGCAGACAAATATTCCTCAAATTTCCAGATTCCATTACCGATCCCAGGACCTTTCCTTTACTCGGCAGGACGCGAATCGCATGCAAACTTTTCAAGCTCGTTTCCTCCATAAGCTTACAATCGTTTTATGCCACTTGTCAACCTTCAACTCCATAAACTTTTAAACAAAATATCTTAATCATGACTACGTTTATCACATCTTTGCTATCAGGCGTTGCAAACAGCCTCGATTTTTTTTATCTTTGCGAAGGTCATTTATGGTCGTGCATCAACTTCTATTATCATCTCAATGAACTGGGCATTGCGCGATACCCACTCTTCGTCAACTTTTTATCTTAATTTCTGGTTGTCTCTTGATATCCATTTGCGTACAAGGCAACTTCACTCCGTTATCGTATCTCCTAACGTTATTTATATCCGCCGGTTGACTTTTTGACAACACCTTGTTCATTCACACCAGCGAGAGCTTCGATCGGAAACGTCGATAACGGAATAACCTCTTGGCCCGTTGCACCAGCCACCCTTAAAACTGTTCGCTGGAACGTGGTTCGTCATTTGAACCAAGTTCACAGAAGTTGCACCATCGTTCAACTGATCCTACTTGACCACTATTTGGTAGAACTGATTGCAGTCTGTACGGTTATAGCTAGTGATAGTGTTCGTTAATTGTTTACATTGGTAACTATACCACTTTACGTTTATTTTGCATTTTTGTGTATTTACTTTTTCCTTAAGTATATCAGAGAAATTTTTGTTGAGATTCTGAATCTATTAACCTATTAAAAAATCCATCATTTTCTTATTCGTTAAAATAGTCTTGTTGGTTCTTAAAACCCTTCTTTTGTACACATGCCAATTATGTAATTACCAATTCTTCATCGTCTGTTGTTCATCTACATTTATTTGTAAAAATGCATTCATTAGATTACCCTTGTATCCATTGAAATATTTGATCCCTTGTATTTCAAATGAAATTTCGTTTACCAACGAACAGGTTTTTTTTTTAGGCATGTTCTTCTGATTTAATTTTTGTTGTTCAGATTTAGTTCAACTTTTTTTTAAGTTGTTTTACTAAAAAAATAGTTAAACAACAAAACAAAAATAAGCCTCAATTGTATTTGAAGTTGATGCTAAATGCAGATTTATTACTGCAAAATCAAGATGTTTTCCTTTTGCCTCGGATTACCAGGCATCTTGACTCAAAAATTGTTCACATTTATGATAGTAGCAATGTAATAAATAATGAAAATTTTTCCTAAAACATAAAATTTTATCATAAGCATTATTTTCATTGGAATCCACGACTTATATAGTACATATAAGAAATACAGATGGGCGATGGGAAAATGCTTTAGTTCTATTGTCAAAGAAATGAGAATTATAAGATCTACTATTGCAAAATTAAGGTCTTTGGACCAAAATTATGATTTTACGAACCTCTCGGCACAATGATTGATGAGTATATATATGCGAGATAAAATGCATTGAGTTCTAGTGCAAAAAAAATACAAATTGCCTAATTGCCTATTCCTGATTAGAACAACAAAATTAAGCCACTTAGAACATTGTCATAGAAAAAACAGTGGCTTTCAAATCAAAAATTAATACATTTTATTGATACTTGTAAACAAAAGAATCAAAATTCGAATCGTGAGAATAAGGCTTTAACAACGCACAGGTTTGGTCGGATAAATCAGAGCTAATCTCCGTTTAACCTACGCTCAACGGCCGTTTAGATTTGAACCAGGTTCATTGTTTGCACACGGTTCAAGACAAATTGAAAAACGGCAATTTTTGAGTTGAACTCAGTTCAGTACGGAATTGAGTTTAAACCAAGTTGATACAACGGGCCCGAAGCATATAACATCTAAGCAAACTAGAAACAATAGAACACTGTGGATGCTTTTCAATTAATTAATCTTTATGTGAGGTTTTGGTTGAGATAAAAAAGTCAGTGTCACAATCGGGATGGATACTATTTTATTATAAGTTTCACAAACCTTGTTTCGTTATTAAACTTATCTTCACACAATAAAATAAATTATAAAGGAAGTCATTTTAAAATGGCCCAGCTGAATTTCTCTTTAATAGAAAGCATTATTTAAAATATATAAAAATAACAAAAAAACTCCTTATTTAATATTTTTCAGTTTAATTGAAACTATCGACCTCTTTTTGAAAAAGAAGTACACGGGGTACCTTAAGACCAGTGATGGTGATGATGGATACTAGGAAATAGGGATTTTTATTCCCCAAACACCGCAGCCTTTTGTACTTTCCTAGTCCTTAGTTCAGTGCAATTTCTCCTAAGGAGGTAGGTCTATCTATCTGTCTATCGTTGCTACAATTCCTTTCCCTAGGTTTTCTTTGTATCCCACGTTATGTCTCGATTGAGCTGATGCTTCACATTCGAAGATATGGGTGGCTGTTTCTTCCTTATTGCATAACCTACGAATGGGATCGACATTGAATATGCCCATGTCGTTTAAATGTTTTCTCAGGTACCAGTGTAATCCTATCATTTCTCTGAGTTCAGCCCACTATAACTGTAGGAGAGAGAGCCAGGTGAGGATGGTTTTGGCGTAAACTTACTGTGTCTAACACCTCTAGAATTTTTCCTCTTCTCTTTTTGCCTTTTTTGGATGTATTCCGTTGATGGAGGATTCTGACTTTGTATCCCAAGAATAAGTTCAGGGCCTTTATATGGTCTTGCGGATCCTCCTCTGGCCGGTTTGCCTGCTTTTTCGTTACCTGAAACTTGTGTCCTGGTACCCAAGATATCACCAGGTTGTTTTCCTCCAGGTTTTGGAGATTTTGGATTCATCTTTTAAAGGATGGATTTTAATGTGATTTTTTTACAAGCTAATGCTGCTTGCATATCCGGTCTTGGGTGGATGTTTTTGCCAGTGTAACATCTTTTAAGATTTTCTAAGACACAAGCTTACTGGCATGTATTTCAGCTTGAAACACCTAGGTATTCTTTCCTAATGAGGTTGACTGCTCGTTTTGGGATTGTACCAAAACGCCTGATCTGGTTCCTTCATTTGTTTTGTATCTATCTGTATACCATACCATTGTATCTGATTATCTCCTAAACTCTTTTTCTCCTTTTGTATTCTGTTGTTATAGTCAGTTATTGTCAGTCGCCAATTTTAAAAATAGGTGTCTGATTTTATTAATTATTGTTGTGAGCCGAGGAGTTCACTACCCATCCAATTTGATTGATATTGCAACCTAAATGACCTATAATTCCTATGAAGGTAGGTTTAGCAGTGTTTCTAGTACAATTTACGGGGTTGTTTTCATTGCCCATGCCAGGTCTTGTAAGCTGCCTAACGTTTGAGGTTTGTTTTCGCTGTGCTTTGGTCCACCACATTAGTGAGCTAAAAGATCATTTGGGTCTTATTACTGCCATTTTAACTTAGGACCTTGTATGTTCCGATACATCATTTTAAAAGATATCATTGTCGTAAACCGGTTTTAAATTGCCAAAAAAAAGATATAGCACAAAGTTTCGAAATTTCCCGATTTTCATATTCGAGCTGCTCGCAACATGAGGAAGGGTCCATCAAGAAACCGACAGCGTAATTTAATTTCGACGAAGAGCTGGAGATTTTATTGTATGTTCGCGAAAATGATGGATGAAAATCCATAAAACTACAAATGGTAAACTGAATCGGTGGGATTTTAACAACTAGAGGGAACTTCAGCAGAGGAAAACCTCCGAATTGTGTACGATGGCCGTAACCAAACGGTTCACAATACGACGTAACCAATCGTTTGGTCAAGACGCCTCGAAATAAATTAATTGGTCCTTTCTACTAAAATAACTTAAATGGAGTTCACTTCTAAATTTCTTAAGAGAGGATTTACAACACCAATTTTATCAGGTGAGTGCTTCTGCACCAACAAGGAAGAATGATGGTTGTCCCAAGAGAAAGGTTAAAGAAACCAATTTTTGAACTTTGAAATATTGGTTGGTAATCACTCATGGGATTTTTTTGACTATTTTTATCAGTCGATTATACATTATTTTCAATTCATTTAACAATTTCTTACCTGTAAACAAAACAAAATACGATAAACAAAAAGTTATCTTTCGAAAAAATTAAACAAATTATGTGTTTTTTTCCAAACTTTCTACAATACTTTTGCTATTTTTGACCAATTTAAAATCGGAATGCGGCTTTTATTAGAGTAAAAAATCCTTGAAAATGCTATCTTAAGGTATAGAGTGCTATTTGAAATTCGTAAGGCCTACTGTTCCTGAGGTACTTTTGACAATTTTTGTAAACAGGTAGCAATTTTCGACTTGACTGAAAAATATTAAATAATTTATTAATTTACTTTTTTAACGTTACCCGTTCAAGAGAAATTCAGGCCGTCCATCTAAAAAGGACACTGAATATGTTATCAATTGTATATTTGCATACAATTACATAATATCTCGAATAATGGGCTTATAACTGGTTGTCAGATATATTCGAGGCTTTTCTCAACAATAACACTGTTGAAAAATAATTTTGACAAAACTGGCAACTTACGTTATTTTTTATTTATTTTTCAGGCCCTTCGAGATTTTGTCTGATATTTTAACAAGAGAACGAGGTAAGCAGTTATTCCTTAACTACAGATAAATTATATCTATTGAACAATACACCTTATCCTAAGATCATTTGGAAAATATTTAAGCCAATCTTTATGTAAAATTCCATTAAAAGAACCGAATGTTCAGCCAATTTAAATAACTTTATATAACTTAAATAACTTTATTATGTATGTCCAATTTTGACATAGAGAATTACGTGAACCTTGTAACATTTTCATCTGTGCTGAAGTGCTATGCCTAAAGTGCACGTGCTAAAGTGTTCTGGAAAGTTAAGCATAGATTTTCGAATAATTTTGGTTAATTATTATTTGATTAATTAATTAAATGCCAAAGATAAATGTAAAGTCAGAGTTGCTAGATTATCCGTTTAAAAGTGTCATGGTAAGAATCGTTTGATGAAATAGCTTCCTGCTTTGAACACCTTTTTCGTCTAAATATTTGATCTAGCTTTCTCTTGGGAACAGTTTATCATCCATAAATGGCAAAATCCTAAACATATCTTCATCCAACGCTATGATGGTAATCGGTTTAGCGTTTGTATGCTTCTGTAATCTACAATTTACGTTTAAATCATCGCAGGCTTGTGATGAAGTTTGATGCGATGGGTGGATATTTAAGCATAAAAGAAACTCACCTTCCGCTCACTTCCCAGCCAACAAGTATCCTAATACGTACCAATGACATTAATACTTCTCCATTAGCACTAATGGCGATCTTCATGATTTTTCTCATACCTGTTTTGTCGTCCTCCAGAAATTTTCAAATTCCTTTATTGTACAAGCGGTACAAGAAATGGAAAAGAAAAAACAATAAGTCTAAAAGTAAATTTACCGTAAATTTGAATAAGATCCTCATACCTTCCTCTGAGGCTGCGGAAGGTGATGTGAAACTGATCATTAAAAAGTCACACGAGTAGTATGCAACCCTTTAAAACCGTAATTCGAACTTGGATTATTGGGTTCAACCAAACGCACTAACTTCATCATCCAACATTTCACTTTTTCAAGATTTTGCAAGATTAATCGGTATACTTCGAATTACACTCCATCATTTCCATTCTAAAATTTTTCCTCTATCTTCATATCTCCCTAAAAATACGTCTAATCTGAAAAGCAAGTGGACAGGTATATTTTTTTAATTTGTGTGCTGAGTATCACTTAATGTACCATTGGGTGTACATAGTGGTGTCAGTAGTGCCATGGTGACCTTATTATTCTATAAACTAAGTCCATGCGACTTATCAGGTCGGCCACCACAGTGGCAACGGATGGCGTTTAACCCGAGAACCCATCAGCCTGAATTGATGGGAGGGCATTTGGCGTTAGATCGGATCGGCGCCTTTATCGGCCGGAACGGTGGTCGAATGGCCAATTAGGAGGGAAGTTTCACCGGCGGATTTTCTTATCCAGGCGAAACCACACGGAAGAAGACATTAGGAGACACGATTCGTCTGTTTGGTGGGCGTTGGGAGCTAATTGGGGAGGGCGACAGTTATCTACCTCTGGTAATTACCCTTCCTAAGGAGCCGCGGTGAGGAAAAAAAAGGGCTTAAAAAGAGGACGAGGCCCATCTCGAGGAGGTGAGAGCTCCCTTTGCCCTAAGCCGGCTCAGGGTTTTTTTAGACCCGACTCGAGGTTGGAGGCGCCGGGTTAAAGGGGGATTTGTCTCAATTATATTGCTTTTCCCTGTTACCTTATATCGGCTTAATTGGAGGGGCTTATTTTCTTCACATCCATCACGATAACTGTGGTTCTGTTGCGATTTTTTTTCTAGAAAAGTACTTTCTCACGTTAACCTTCGGAATTGCCTTTAGTGCCAGTCCTATTTCCAAAAACGTCTTTATCAAAACCCGCACTGCCCACTCGGCTGCGCAAATATCAGATCGTAAAATAAGTCCTTAACATTTTTTGAATGTGAAATTAATGAAAATCCAAAGAACTTGTAAGTAAATTGAACCAACAATACAACATTTTGGTCTACCTGTTCTCTCCCATCTAATTCCCATCAAATTTTTAACTCCGTCCTCTCAGAACTTCTCAGGTTTTTACGCGGTGAACGCCTCGATGTATTTTTTGCATCCCTCAAGTGAAGTGAAGTTTTCTCGTTACTAGAGTTTAGTACAGTCTGGAATAAGTGAAAATCTGAAGAGGCAATGTCAGGCAAATACGATGGACTAGTAAATCCCATCCAAGCTCCAACAATCTACCAACAGTCGTTTTTAGTCAATTGCTGGCTTTAATCGCTCCAATTACGTGGAATATACACTTGGTTGATCGGAAGGTTCTCATAATAAAACACCCCTTTCGAACCCAACGATATGAACACCTTCTTGATAATCCGGCTTTAGGACTTGTTAACGGTTAACAGGATTTTCTTCTCTGAATTTTGTCGTAAGCAACCTAGTTTTCATCCCATTATCAATCTTTATAAAAATGGAGCGTTTGCATCACGTGAAATCATCACAAACTCACAGAAACAGTATGGTACAATAAATTCCCAGGTTGAACCGGCACTGGGTTACTTATTGGGTCCGTCGGGTTAAACCGCGAGTGTAGACGTAATAACCACCAGTGCCAGTTCAAGATGTCACCGACCCGATGGCCAACACCCAACATCAGCAATGATCCAAATATTGCTCCCACAAACAAATCCACCTGCCCTCGGATGCGATGAAACGCTTGAGATATGTTAACTTTCTCTGAGATGTCTCGTGTCGCAAGTGTAGGTTATTTGTGACAAAAGTTTAAATTAGGTCATCACGACGGTTAAGGACGACCAGAGCTTTTTGCGTCTTAAAAAATCAATACTTTTTGACTGTTACCAAGGCCCAACACTGAAGATGTCGAAATGCCGGACTCGTCTGATAGACAACACAGTGAGAATAGGAAGACAAAAATCATTATCGACTAATTTTCAGGTTCATCATCTGCAGACCATGCAGAGAAATCGAAAATCATTCCATAAAGCTAAACTGATTCCTTTAAAAAAAGGTGATTATGCTATTGTTGAACCGGCATTTCTTCACTCACTGGGTTTGTCAACACTCCCTGGTTTTTGATATTACTTAAGCTTTCGGCTTTGTGCATCTTCAGTGATATCGGGTTTAATGGGAAAAATGTGGTAGCAAGCCAGAGAATAATATTTGGTTTTGGTAGATGCCATGGTGAAATCGACGGAGCTCGTTCTTTCTGCACTTCGGTTAAAAGCAAGGCATTGGAAAATCTACAGAAGTGTAATTTTGGTATTTTAACTGTTCTATAGCATCTCTAAGAAAGTTAAACGGATGTGAGGGGGAAGATATAATTTTACAAAAAACATTGTTAGTCCAATACTTTGCGTCAATAATGTAAGGAAAGCACATCATCCTGCGTACTGCCGCAGCAGTAGCTATTCTGAGTCCAGCCTGAAAAAGAGTAGGATAATGCTGTTTGTTATTTTATATTTGTTAAAACTGCTGATGTTATCTTCGAAAAGCGTGGTCAATATTTTATAGCTGAAAAGTGTTTTTTTGTGTATCACCAGGGTGAAATCAGGGTTGCGACCCTCGCGTGACACCGGGGTTGCTAATGTTTTGCGATCGAATCTGCGGGGTGATTTTTATCGCAAGTCTTCACCGATAAACCCTTTCACTAAGCTATTTTGCCTTTTTCCGTGTATTTTTATATGTGTTTGTGTTGTACTAAGTTATCAACCTTCGTGAGTGATAAAATTTGTAGATTTTCTGAAAAAGTTATCAGTACTTCAATGAGATTTCAATTTTTCTATTTTTTTTTTTTTCACCCCAAACATTTTACAAACGTTCACAATTTTTCCGTTAAAATAAATTAAATTCCTTTCTATCACTCTACATGAAAAATGAATTTAAGATTTTCCCTTCCTCTGCCCATTTTTTGAACTGCCGAAAAAGATAAATTTGAGCATATTTTACCAATTCTTTCAGGTAATCTTGGTTTTGCTAGTTGGCCACAGGCAGAGTCAAGAGAAATTAGAACATGAAGATATACATAATAAAAAGCTGCCATTTGCCTCCATATGTGCCCTACCTCCTGGTGGTGAAGATCATGTTGAAGATAGAAGAATATCTGATGAGTTATTTGTATCTGCTAACTTCAATGGTGATGCCATTCGGGCAGAACCACTTTAGGGACAACATTCCGCCCACACAAGCTCACCGGATTGCCCACTAATATTTACAAAACTATCATCCAGTCTGCGGAGGTGGAGAACCTGAAATTTCATCGTTAGCGAAAGAGTAAACAAAAAGATTTTTTGGTACAAAATTGAACATAAGAAATAACATAAAGCTTCTAAAAATAAACGATGCCATCGGGCTTGCATTCTTCAAGCGGTGAACACTACGGACGTTTAGTTTTTGAAGCTGTTTTTTAAGATTTCGATTAAAAACTGATCACTCTCTTAGGTTTTTCAAAACCCTTTATATTGGTGTTATCAAATTTATATTAAGGTAAAGAGTTTATGAGTTTGGGGGGTCTTAGCAGAAAAACGTTGTCAAAGGTTGAAATATGAAATATCTTGATTACAATTGAAAATCTGACTTTAGACAACAGTGATTTTGTATATAAAATAAAAATTTGAGACTTTTCCGTGATGCTTGCAGAACGATAAAACTGAAATTTGATCATTGCCGTACATTTTGGTCTGCCTAATCTCACTGTGTTGGCTCTAAAGATGGCGAAACCCATCAGTCAGTCCCAAAACAGTAAGGTTAAGCATGTTATAACCGACATACCAATAGGAAAGGTCAAATTTTGGTCAATATTTTGAAACTAATTTTGGTTTCAAAATTTTACACTTATCAATTGCTAAGGTTGGAGTTGCTCTGAGACAACACTGGGCCAAAAAGGTGGTAATTAATTGCCTACTCTTCTGACTATCTTCTCAGTCATTTTTAAGCATTATACTGGTAACTTGTAGTACTTGGTAACAAAATGGAAGTAAATAAACTTTGACAATTAACAATCAATGATACATAAAATAA